TCGAGGGGTAGGAGCTCTTTCCTCCTAATTCTGCTGGCCTAGAGAGCTTTGGAAGTGGATAGGAGGGCTGCAACTTGCCTCTCGCCAGCCTCTTGGCTGCCTCCTTTTCTGCAGAGCTAGCAGATAGCTCTAAAATCATGAGGACAGACTGTTGCTGGAAATTAAGTGTGATGAAAGGGCCTGTGAACCACAGCTAATATTTGGAAGTGGCACGGGGGTGCTACAGTCAGCATGGAGGGACCGGTGTTGAGCTGTATGTCCTGTGAACCACTTTCCATCCCACCCGCATCTTTCCATCATAGTGACTGTGGAGGGGCTGCTGTTGTCTTCTCCCTGCATCTTGTCTCTTTCCAGCTTTGAGGTGGGAGCAAAATCACAGGGTACGGCTGCAAAATGAAAAGAGAGAGGGAGAGCATTGTGATGTCCATTCAATTTCAGAGCGTCTTCCAGTGTTTCTTTTTGGGTTACAGAAGAGCTTTGCCTAAATAATTCATTAAGTGAAAACTGCTGTGAGCAAGGATGAAGATGTATCCAAGTAGCCATGCGCTGTTACTCATGAATGTTAGTTTATTAAGCCTACCTATAGATCTCTTAGTGTATCTGTGGGATGATCTTGCTATTTTATTTCTCATTCATGCCATAATTGCAGGAATCCTTTATGCCAGCGTAAATACTGATCTCACTGCATGTTGGAATGACACAGTTTATAAAATAGGGAGCTGCAATAATAAGCAGTGTTTTCTGAAAAAGTAGTAGGTTTCTGAAGGAAGAGTTTACCCAAAGGAAGCTAAGTTTACAGATCTAACTCATTCAGATCTTTCTGGTTCTGAAGCTGACACACAAACACACACAGTCCCGTATCTATTTCATGGGCACATTCTTCTCATCTCAGTGTGTAAAGGTCTTGAAAGCAATAGCTACTGGCAGTACCCCAATTCAACATATCTACTAGGTCCTTTCCAGTTACAAAATCACTACGGACACATGCCCAGATGAATGCGTGGCGTAAGCTACCTTACTATCAGAAGCAATGAAAGTAGCTGGGTGTCCTCTGGGACTTGGTTTGTGGGCTCTTTTGTTTTTTCAGTCTTGGTTTGCTGACTACAGCTCAAGAACTGTTGCTGGAGCAAACTCCCTAGCATAACTCCTGAAAGTAATCCAGCAATCTGCAAGACTTTTTAGATCTAATAATAAACTGCAGTGAGTCTTCATGATTTTCCAGATTTTGTGGATTAATGGGCTGCAGGTGGAAGGAAAAAAGAGCAGGTTTGGCTTTCTGTAAATTATCTCTGATTCAGTGGATGCTTCCCTGCCCTGCCCTCATGAGGACTCACCTGTAGCTCTTCTTCCAGTTTGGGGCTCCCAGCACAAGAAGGATGTGAACCTGTTGGAGCAGGTCCAAGGGAGGACCACAAGGATGATCAAAGGGCTGGAGCACCTCTCCCATGAAGACAGGCTGAAAGAGTTGGGCTTGTTCAGCCTGGAGAAGAGAAGGCTTCTGGGAGACCTCACTGCAGGCTTCCAGTATGTAAAAGGAACTTATAAACATGAGGGAGATAGACTTTTTATGTGATCTGATAGTGAGAGGACAAGAGGGAATGGCTTTGAACTAAAAGAGGGGAAATTCAAGTGAGATGTTATGAGGAAACTCTTTACTCAGAGGGTGGTGAGGCACAGGCTGCCCAGAGAAGATGGGGGTGCCCCATCCCTGGAGGCGTTTGAGGCCAGGTTGGATGGGACGCTGGGCAGCCTGAGCAGCCTGTGACAGCCCTGCCTACAGCAGGGGGTTGGAGCTGGATGGGCTTTCAGGTCCCTTCCCAAGCCAGTCTATGATTCTATAATCTGTTGGGACTTATGAGGGCATGATCTACCTGTATACTCACAACAGGTATTTTAGATCAGCATCAGGAGGCCTAACTCTGCTGACTTAAACACGGCATCTCCAATTTACATCATCTGTGTTTGAACCTAGTGTTATGTGTGTAGGCATGCAGTCAGTGGATTGACACTCCCTCCTGGCAACTCAGCGTTTGACCTGTGTACTTGTGAATATTTGTAGTGTCAGGCTAGAGAAATGGAAGTACATCTATGAACGCAAATTCTGTGCTTTACTGTGTTTTCCTGTCTGCTCAGGTAAATCTTAGCTACAGTAGCTACCTGAGAAAGCTTTTTGATGCAAACAATCAGAGTAAACAAATGACTTGAAAGCAACCCTCGTGCTTTGTACAGGGTAAGTACATCCTGAATCTCCAGGCTAACAGGAACAGTTCTGTACAAGCTGACATTAATTTTCCAGGCCTAAATTTCAGCAATTGTCATGCTGCCTATTCATACTTCTCAGCCTGGAGGAGTCGTGGCCAGGTTTTACCTTGGTGGTCTCTGCCCTGATGGTCACTGAAACTCTTTAGGCTTATTTTGCACAAAATTAATAATCGTCAGGCTATCTAGGAGTTTGGCTCGGGTGCTGTATTTCACTAATGAGTATCCAGTTGAAGAGCTTGTGTTTAAAAAGAATTGTTATCTAACGCTTACTGGCAGGTTTTGAGTCTCACATCCCTGTTGAGATTGATTTCCTGTACATGTCTAATTACTGATGACACAGTAAGATATAAGCTGAAGAGCTATCTTGCAACTGCAAAGAAAGCTTGAGGCCAAGTTCCCTTTGGCTCAAACAGAAGGAGGCCTCATTTTATTTCATTTACTAAAGTCACCATAGAAGGATCCTCATTTGAGAACTTGCAGCAATATAGGAAGTGTGTACAAAACAAGTCCAGACATCAAACAGGGCAACTCCCAAAATGTCTCTGCATTTGTAAACATGCTTCACATCTGCTCAGCTTTGCAGTAGGCATGAAACGTAAAACTTGGGATATCTTTCTAATTCGTTTGAATGGATGCTAATTCAACCTGTGGTTTGTTGAGATGGAGGCTGCAGCTGCAGCTGGCTTGAGAAAGTGTTTTAAGGAAAAACAAAACAAAACAACAAAAAAAAAAAACACCCTGGAGAAGGAAAGGTATCTTCATTTAAAACAACAAAAAAAAGAAAATTAGAAAAAGATTGGTTTGCTGATCTGATTTACAATGCAGCCCAATTAATAGTTGTAGGCTCAAATGCCTAAACTGCACCATAACACAGAGAAGGGCAGAGCAAAGGAAGCCATAAGGCTTTTAGCCCTTTTCTGGGATCTGACAACAAGCCTTTGATCAGAAGGATGCTCACTGATGATAAGAGTGTGGAGGTAAGAAGAGCTTCTGTTTCATAGAGATACGCCAAGAGCATGTGTGAGAATGTCTGGGCAGCCTCTACTGGAGTCTCTGTTAAAATTCTGTGTGACCATATCAAGTACGGACTGGGTGACTTCAACAGAGGCACTATTCCAAATATCTTGTATAAAATCTTGCAGTGAGAGCGTGAGCTTGACTGTTTATATGCTTCCATTGGGGCAAGGCTTATTCACAAGTTAGAAAGCTATTATATTTCATCAGCTGAAGGCAGTTTTATAACAGCGTAGGTACCTGCAAAGCAGAGACAATACCCTTAGAGATCACATCAATTATAAATGTATATATAGTAGCATCCACCTATATTTGGTACATAATTATAACGTGTGGAGAGTATACAGAGGACAGGCCTAAGATGTGCACTGTAAAGCAGGTAGCATGTGATGACCTTTGTCTGTGGCAAGGCACTAAATTAGACTGCTTGTTTCCGATGTAATGTTGTAGTCACTATTCTGTCACCTGGATCCAACTGCTGGAAGAATTTTTTTGCCCACAGTTGGTCATCACTGTCCTTTTTCTGCAAGTTACATCTCTAAGATGTACTGGCAGAGCTGCTGATCTGATTTGCCTTGTGCATTTCAGTCACAATATCTACCCGTCCATCTGACCATCACAGAGGGTGTTTGTCCATAGCCTGAGGCTTTTAGCCTGAGGCAAATCATACAGAGTACAACAAGAGCTATCTGACCAAGAACAATCTGAGCTGAGAAGAGTTTGGGGGTCTGAAAATAAAAGAAAAAGTTCTAACAGTTGTACAAGCTTCTATACTATTTGAGTCTATAAGTACAAGCATCGCTAATCATGCTGTCATTAGACCACCTTCACACTTTAATTAATGTAACTATTTTATTTCTCTCCTCATGCCAGTGTCTGGTCAGACATTTCAGCCTGGAACACTCATTTCCAGGGGAAATGCTCTTTTTTTATATATAAAGGATTTTTTGTAGATGTAGAGCCACTAAATCTGTCACCAGTTAAATGTGTTAAGCACAATTTCAGGAGTGCTGCAACCCCCTGGCAAACCTTGAGCTCCAGGATGTAGATGTTAAATACCACGTAGGAAAACTGTACATGTTAGTGGGAGAGAAAGGGAAAAATAAAGCATCCTAATAGGTAAGGTGATGTCTGCTCTTCAAGGACTTGAAAATGGCCTGACCTTCCACCCATGGCAAAACTGCATTTCGTATGTGCTCTGTGGCTTGTGTCACTTGGCCGTGTCCCAACCTTAGTTCTAGCGTGGCTGCATGTCAGCTATCCATTGCATGCGTAAGTGTTGTGAGTTATCATTTACATGACAGCAGTACCCAGGCTGCCCCACTGTGCACCACGCACCGTGCAAATACACGGCGAGAGTCTACCTCACTCCAAAGCTCTCGTGGTGTAAAAAGGCCATCAGAAAGAGCAAGAAGGGAAAGAGAAACAGAAAGAGCTGAGAAATGCATCCAGGGTCACACAGCGTGGAAACAAGGCAATGCAGGTTCCTGCTCGTGGGTGTTTTCATGCGTTCCCAGCAGCAAGACTTGTGTCACTTAATGCTGCAGAAGGTGACTTCTGGGTCAGAGCTATGCTCAGGGCCTTTCCTACTGAGACAATTCGAGAGTGTTCCTCTTCCTGCATGTTTGCCATGTCCTACTGCCAGAGTTACTGTCCTATTGCCCTGGTCAGTGGAAAAAGGCACACATACCTATGTAGTGATCTTCCTAGTGCAAAGTCCAGCCTTCCAGTTCCAAGCTGCTCACATTCAGCAGGCTGCTGCTATAGCGGGAGATAAACCTCCTATTGCCCATTAGCTTGCACAGTCCTCTTTGGGCTAGAAGATGCTGTGCAAAGGATAAGATACGTTGTTAATACAGCCAGTTTTCCAAGGGTGCTTTATGAGAGAGGTTATTTTTATTCTTCGTTGTTTTTCTAGCTCACAAAAATGTCAGATATCCTCCAGAGTACAATAGACTTCAGCCATGCTGCTCCTGCCTGTTTCCATTCATCTCCTTAATAGAATGAGTGAGCAGTGACCTGTCAGCACTCTGCAATATCACCATCCTTCCTGAACCATGTGAGTGACAAGGTGGGTAGGAAATGATGGCAGAGTGCTGATGAGATTAGCGCTTCTTGATCTTCATGGAGTAAGAAATCCCCAGGACTAACTCATCCTTCAGTATTCTCGGTGACTAATAGGTGTTTTATCATCCTTCCAATTAGAAAGCATTTATCAGCAATCTTTGCTAACTCACTGCATGAATTGACCTGTCATTCAAACCTCAGCCCTTGGAACTGGTAATTAAGTTTAGCAACCTGCCTCAGCAGCTCTGATTGAGATATCTATGTGGTGTGTTTTCATGTTGTCAGGCAGACGCTTTGGGTTTTCCTTCCCAAAAGGAAAGGACTTCAGGAAAAGTGAATGAAGGCTCCTGGATGCATGGGTGGATGCAAGTCAGTACCTGCAATCATCAAATTCCTGCAAGCAGCACAGGGTGAGTGGCATGGAGTGGCTCCACCAGGGCTAGAGGTTTTATTTTAGTTTGGTTGACATTAGATGGGATCTGAGGACAGTGCTCTTTAGCTAAAATACCTGTTTCATCCCAGTGCTTTCCAAAGCTGCCTCGTCTGGGGCTGTGAAGGGCATCCATACTTCGTTCTTGACCCCTCCCTCAACTTCAGAGTTTCATATTTAAACCTGAGCTCGTGTCAACCTCTGACAGCAGAGAACATGTTTTATCCACAATGTAAACTTATTTTAAAAACAGTCATTCAGTTTCCTGTTGAAGGGAGTTCCTTAAGGAGTTAGAACCTACACAAATAGCCACACACTGAGCAGCAGTGTTACCCCAGGAGTTTCTGAGTTTGGCCCAGCCAGTAATTTGACATGAATGAAAGTGGTGAACTGAGGTCTGTGCCTCCCACAAACAAGTAAAATGTCTGCATTCTTGGGTTTACAGAGATAACGTTTTGGTAACTACGCTTCTGACTGGAGGTTTGTTTCTTGCAGTGAAGCTGATCTGTGTTGAAAACTGCTTCTTCACATCAAGATTACAGTGTGCTAACTTGAGGGCAACGCTAGTAATGTCATTGGTACTGCTGACACTGAGGCTGCATCTCCTGTTATTTCTTGGCCTTTCTCTGAGGTGTCTAGCTATTATTTTCCTTTTATGATGAGGGGAAATTTGAGGGTTGCTTGCACTGAGGAAAATCTTTTCCTTTCCTTGTCTAAATCTTGGGTTGATACCAGTTGATATAGGCTGATTTTCAGTAGCTAGCCCACTGTGTTTTTGGTTTTGTTCTGGAACAAAAAAAAATCCTACCCTGTTCACAACTGCCAAGGGGCATAGAAGTGCCAGCATCTGTACTCATTCCAAAATCAAGTTCAAGTTGCCTGGTTTGGGGTTTTGGAGGAAACGTAATTTGCAGAGCTCACTGAACCTCACTGAAGATTTGGTTTGGAATTTGTCTGGAACTGTCCTGAAATATTCCTTACCCCATTTTACCACAGGAAATATCCTGAGGGGATTTTTCTTCTTTTTTCCTGTTTCACTACAACAGGCTTTTCTCCATTCTGTCTTAAGAGACGATCTACAGTTTAAAAAAATATAGACCTTCATGAAAAGTACGAGCCAAACTTGTTATTTAGGGGCCAGTTCCCCACAGTATTTGTCTTCTTGTTTAGGCTGGTCAAATCACACAGGAGAAAAGAAAGGCATTATCATGTGAGAGCTGAGAAGGTAACCTCTGTTAAAAATCAACAAAACCAAAACCAGCAACCTGAAAACAATGGGAAGAATGCCAAGGAGAGGAAAGTAATAGGAGGGTGATATTTATGTGATATGGCAAAATAATAGCACCAAGTGGTAGCATGACTTCCAAAGTATGTGCATTGTGAGTATAAAGCAGCACCATGCTTCTTCAGTTTGTGAGCTGCAGAAAGGCCCCTGACTAGTATGATTTATTTAAGAGATTTCTCCATGTTTCAAAGGAGGAAAAGTTGTCCTGAATGGAGCTAGAATAACTAAAAATGGTTTGGTTTCATTTTTTCATTGAAAATACCCAAAGGCTCCTTACAGCTTCCTGTTCTCTGAAGATCACGTGTACTAACTTCAGCCCCCCCCAAAAGAGAATGGAAGAAATCCTCTCAGTTTAGTACAAAGGCCATCTTTTCTCACAAGGGAATGAGTACGGTCATAAATGATAGGATATCTGCTTCAGGCCCCTTTCAGTATATGTTCCTATAAGAGCTCTGGAGTAAGACAATCCCTAGAGATCTGAGACAGTGTGTTATTAGCAGAAGCTCATCGGTTACATTTACTGGTATTTTGGGTACCTTAATGCTGAAGTGTTAGCATCAGCTTGAGAACACGTAATCTTTCTCCTGAGTCTGATTATATTTTCACTTTGCAGACAACAGAATATTCCTGTGTATTTAATTAGTAAAAAGATTAAGTTTTAAACCCGCAAAGGCAAGGTAAGAAGTAAGGATGAAATGTCAAACAGCCCTCAAATTGCCCTTTTATCTCATTGTATCACTTACTGCCTGGGAGCCCCCACACCCTGGTGTGAAAAAAAACGTTTGAATATAAGTCATAGCAGAATTAGCTGCAGCCAGAATGAACACCTAGACCTCTGCTGTGCTAATGATCAACTGAATCATTTCCACCACCTCAGACAGAAATGGAAATGTGTAGGGTTTGTGTCTTCTCAGTTGGGTAGTCTGTAATGTTTGTGATATGCTCTAAATACCCTTCATCATTTGTAAAGCAGTTTGATATCTGCTTGAGAAATTTCTCAATTACATTTTCTCGTTTCAGAATATTAAAGTTCTCAAGCATCTGCATTATAGTTCAGTTAATAGCTTAACCAGAGGTTTACATTAAAATATAAACTGTTAAAAGTCTTCGTACTTGAAAATATAATGCCATTGCTTTACCTTTCTGGCTTGAGTACCCCCTTTCCTCCCCTTCCCTCCCTTTCCCTTTTTTCATTTATTTATTTATTGGCGTGGTATTTATTGGTTAATTGGATCTTGCAGGTGTTTTCTGGAGCACTGTGGCAACACAATTGTTCTATAAAGTTACAACAGTTAAGTTTTTAACACAGAATTTGTGGCTAAAGAAGAGATCTGTGGAATTGGGAAATGGAGGCTCATGTTGTGCTTCTGCCAACTCACTTATTGTGTAGCCCTGGGCAAACTCTTTCAGCTGAAAACTTCAAGAGTGGTCACCTGGCTGACTATCAATAGCCCCAAAGGGGATAGTGGATCTCTGGCAAGTCCATGTGCCCTGAAGTCATGCATCCCCAGCCAGACAGGGGTATCTGGTACCACAGCCAAAATCTGGATCCGGTCATGTTCATGCAAATTTGGCTCTGCTTTTGGTCAATAGTATAATGCCTTAGTCTCAAAGAAATTGAAAATCTCTATATGAAGCACAGGACCATCAACCACAGCTGTGCTCCTCAGCTGTGGTCACTTTTGCTACAGATACTTCCTAGGGGAAGTGCAGATGGCTGTGCATGCATATCTCCCCCAGGCTCTGCAAGTAATTGCTAGGAAATTTTTTACCGGCTCTGAAAACCTGCATCTTCAAAAGTATTTGGATACCTAGTTTGTCTTTGGTTTTTCCCCCACTGATTTTCATAGCTTGGAGAACATTGTCACAGGATCCAATTTTAATGGCTCTAAGTGCAGCAAAATAGAGATTCTCAAAGTAGCCTGAAATGAACTTCCTTACTGTGCCATTAGGGTGCAAGGGATTTACCTTCCATGAAGAAGGACTGCCAACGCAAGTTTGTATTGCTGTAGCTTGACTGCTCTTCCTGAAGGAGTTTGTGCAAAGATGGCTCAGTTATCACAACTCTGCACTGTAGACACAGCTTCAGAGTTGCTGGGAACAGTCAGCTGGCTACTCGCTAACTGTGACCAGCCAAACCTACCCTCTCTTTTCAACTTTTCCCATTTTCTGCACTCAGATGGATTGAAGTTTTCTACAGAAAGCTGTTTTGAAGTGTTTTGAGATCCAAGATTGCTCTGAGTGTAAAATACACCTGAGCTCTTCACTGCTGACTTGATCCATCTGTTGAATTGCCCATTTGCAACATGGAAATACCAGGTAATAGGTGTCCTGATGTAAATAAATGCTCACCCGTGCAGCCTCCTTAATAGAGGAAATCAAAGCCGAACTTTCTTCCCACTTACCCTCCATAGCTCTGGTCATTCAGAGATGTAATAGGGGACAGAGCTCTTGTCAGTGGGGCTTTTGAGGAACAGCTTGTTTGTTTTCTTTTTTCTAAGTGTGAATTTACCAGGCTGTGCTATTCATGGGGCTGGAGACCTTCCAGTTTGCTGCACAGCTGGTTTTGTCCTACCTGGTGCTGGCCGGATATTGAGGAGGAAGGAGTGAGATTGTCATCAGAACTGTAAGCACAAACCTCTGGCCCTAACTGTGATTGAAAAGCTCCAGAAAGGAAAGGTTAGCAGAAGAGCATCTGTAACAGAGAAGTGTGGTTTCAGGAAGCTGGAGGGAATATGCAGCCATGCCCTGGTTACTTCTGTTTTCCTACCCTACCCAATGTCAGTTTCAAACTGAAGCTTCAGACTTTTTCTCTCTTTTAAGAATGGAGGAAAAGGTCAAGCCAGAATCGACAGTGATTTCTTACAACCCAGTATCCATGGCCTGGCTTTCCAAAGTCCTGAGCAAAGTCGTCTTTGCAGCTCCAGAACAACATGACCGAGCACATCTCCAGTTTCACAGTGCTACAGGCTGAATGAACAGAAAATTGCTGGTGGTTCTGGATACTTCCAGTTATTATGCCACCTACCAGGTATCTAAAATGGAAGTTTTAGAGAGTTTGTTTGTTGGTTGGTTTGTTAGTTTGTTTGTCACAAGGGTTTTAATTTTACTTCAAGTGATCTGAAGTGTCTTCTGCATGCTAACAAAGCTGAAGTTAAAACAGTGCAACTTTCTCATGCAGTTAACATATGTGAGAAAACAGAAAACAAAATTTTATGATAAAACACATGAATAAAGACTGAACTGGGAGGACAGCATTAAAGGCCAAGTGCTACTATGCAGTTTCCCATAGCTCTCTTTCACTTCACTTTTTAAGCCAGTCACGAGAGCTGGAGCAGAGGGCAGCAGACTTTCCCAGCTTCGTGCCATCCTCCCTGGGCAGAGTGTGAGTGCTGCTGGGACTTGGGGCAATGTGTCTCCTCCTTGATGGAAGAGGGGGGCTGAGAGCCGTTGCAGACTTCTGTAAGTTGAAATGTGTTTCCCAGAGGCAGCTCTTTGTCCTGTGATTGGAGGATGAGGTAGGGAAATAGCTCACAGCCTACTTCCCACACCATAGCCTCCAGGTCTTGACCTCTGTACAAGGTTTCAAAACCCCTGCCATGGGCCAAGAGACGCCTTTTCTACTATTGCTTGCTTTCTTTTGCTGAGGCCAGCCTAGCTTTTCAACAAAATCCATTGGCCCAAACAATCTCCAG